TGGCTGTGGTGGGCCACCCACATGGAGGTGATGTTTCTGGCATGCTCCTTGGCGCTGGAGGTGTGCCTGATTGTGGGGGGGTCTGTCCGGACTCAATGCCCCTAGCCCTGGGGGCCCCGAGGCCCTGGCGGTGTGCCTGGTTGTGGGCGGGGATTTATTTTATCGTTTACTAGCTTTATGGCCTTGAGTAAATTACTTCATTTCTCTGAGCTGCAGGCCAGCCTTATGAAGTAGCTATGAAAGCAGGGATATTTTTTCATCTCTAGCCCAAGTTCCTGGCTGAGTGTTGGACACACACCAGGTATTCAGTCAGTGCTGGTTCTTTTTGCTCCCCTCATGAGTAAGTCACATTCCACTGCAAACAAAAATGTTCTCTCAGAAACAGATATCTAAGCTCTAGCTATTATTTTATGAATTTCAAAGAGTTTTCAATATAATAACTTGGTACAGGAGAATGCAGATGGTCCCATAGAATTTGCTGCAGCTTTTCACTTGAATTAAGCTTGAGCTTTGTATGAGGGATGGAAGTATAAGAGAACCACTAAATATTTATTAAAAACAAAACTATTTCAAGCCTTGCTATACTGGGGGGAAAGGACAGAAAGAGGGAGTAAGAGCAGTTTCATCAGTTAATGCAAATATGTCATTGTCTGATACCAAAGGCATTTTTGCAGGTAGAATCTTTGACTCCTAAAACCTATTCAAATGGGTTCAGAACAAGTGTGGCCCAAGCATGACCCCATTTGGTCATTACCAAGAAAAAGTCTTTCCATCAAAGCTGAAAATCAGAGGCACTTACAGTAAGAATCAAGTCTGAGATTGTGGGACCTCATGATTTAACACAGGCAGACCTAACCACAAACTCTGCTTGGAGCAAGGTCATACTTCCAAAAAAATCAAAAAAATTCTTTGGAACTTCTATAAACCAAAGAGATCTCCAAGATACAGTAGCCCATGGGCCTGTCATTTCTGATAGATATTCTGTAATATTATGGCAAAATCACAGATAAGATGTGGTTTCTTTTTTTTTTTTTTTTTGTCTTTTTTCGTGACCAGCAACGGATCGCAACCCTCAGTGT